GTTGAGGGGCGTCGCCAGGAGGAGGGGAGGGGCCACGGCCAGGGCGACTGAGTGCGACAGCCTACAAGCATGGAAAGGAAAGGGGGAAAGGGAGATAGGGAGTAGTTGGGTGCAGATGTAACATAACGTGTGGTGTGGGGATGCGGCAGCCAGTAAAGAGATAGGGCTCAGACAGATGAGTCCGGCTGGAGACATCACGGTCCGCACCGCATAGAGAGGACTGCGTGCCCTTTAATAGGCTTCTTCTCAATGAATGAGGGATGAGAGGGTCAATCATTGTCCATGGGTTCATGTCTCATTCCGGAAATGCAATGGGGATCAAACGGCTTGGGACTTCCCACTCTGCACCGGCAAGGACATTAACAAAAAATAAATAAAAAAATAGTATTCCAGACAGGGTGAAATAAACATGTCCTATATATCCCCTCATGAAACATATGATCCGTCAACCACTTACCTTGGAAATGACAGCACAGTGTAGGACGGCTACAAAACCATTGCAGGCCCTGAAAGAAAATACATTTATTAATAAGAGTACAGTGAGGCAACTTTTTTTGCATAATCCAAAGCACTATTCCTAATACACACAGAAATTATATGTATATATGAAATTATCTGAATCCAATTCGAATCAAGAATAATCCTACTGTACAAGGTTATACTATTAAAAATTGAAGGCTAGTTAAAATACTTATAGGGCACAACTAGATCCAACCATTTATAAATGAAATAAGAGATTAAGATGAGATGGTATGAATTGCCATTTTAATGTCGTCTAGGAAGGACAAAGTTCTGCTAGAGTTTTTAATAAAGTAAACTAACCTCGTCTAGCCATCTATTTTCTTTCAATAAAATATGGAGCCAAGATGTGACCATGAAAAACACAACACCAAATTGAGAAATGCTTGAGAGCAAGTCCCCCAAGGAAAATTAAATGAAACACTATTTAAAAGGTTTAGCAGATACCCGGTCCGGACGACCTAACCTACAATTCATTTCCTACCGAGGATGGGCAAAACCTCACGGATGCGTTAGAAGACACTTAAATACGTAACCACATGGATTATGTTTGATAGTTTAACAAGAAAAGCTTCAAAGGAATTTCATAAAGCAAACCTATTAACAAAGCGGGGTTGTTTGTACCCCGAAGTAAACGCTACTTTTGTTCAGTAACTGTGTTGCTAACTGAGCATCTGGGACGGCTCACGTTATATCCACAGCAGGATGGAAATTTATCACACTCAGATCTACCACATACACAAGACAAATAATCACAACAAACAACAAATGAAATTACAATTACCAGTAGAAACGTATACGTTTACGGCGATAAGCACTAGATACAGATAGATACGAACGCGCTCTAGCGGTAGTGTTTGTAAATTCAAGATGGCAACACCCCCCCTACCCGCGGATCCAAATCCATTGCAACCGCTGCAACGCAGGTGCGACCCAATTTTTTTGTAGCTCATTGAATTTATGTATCATTTTACTCGCAAACGTGTGGGGTTCAACGCGGATCAGGCTTCTACACAATAGTCCCAGCACCTACATTCCGAGCATGTTGCATTCACTATTGTTGATTGGGGCTCTAGGGTATTATCCAAAGGGAAGTTGGTTGGGATTTGGGATGAATGATGAAATGTGGGATAAATGAAATAATCCTCATTTCGATTGACACCAAAACAGATTTACTTTGGTTTCTACAAACATGATCCTTTAAACACTTCAATTTATCAATATATCAAGAAACACCACAAAATTGGAATTAACACAGCAGACAATTTAAGAGAATAAATACAAGAAAGCAAAATCTTGCTTAATGATAAAAGAAAGTTCAATCAATCCTAACCACAGTCTCATAATATTTTTATAAACAAAGATTAGTTTGAATCCGTGACAATTGTGCAACAACACAAAATCAAGTAATACAATCCTGGAGCTATCTTCAGTATACTTCTTTTTTTAAACCATTAAAACACAAACACAAGATCATAACAGTGCACATTTCAGGTCCTTGGATAATACAGAATGATTTTTTTGAGAAAGACAATGTATGATAGAATTACATTAAAAAATAAGAGTAATAAAAATGAATAAGAAAAAAAGTTGTACTAACTAAGGATGGTTCATTCAGGAATTCATCAGATGAGCAGAAGATATTCCACTATCTGCCATAAGTCAAGGATTAAATTGGGCAGATATTTGCATAAAGTGATTCAACTTGGACGCATCAGTCAACCCTCAGGCTTGAGGAAATATTTTCAATCAATAAGTAATGTTTCAAATTTCAACCTAGACTATGATTTGGGGATACAATGCCATTAGTAGGTCGTCAATCTGCCATGTCTTAATTACTCACAAGAAATACAAGAGAAATCTGAAGCAAATATGATGGATTCCTAGCAAGATGGTAACATAAAGTATAAGGAAAATAATATTAGGAAAAAAAACTAACCACATTCCACCAACAAACGCTGTCAGTTAATCAAAAGATACATTCTACAGAAGTGTATGCAAACCAGAGTTAAGCAGAAATGGCTATGATATAGCATTAGTATATTGCTCCCAGAGGAATCAATGACTACTCTCAAAACCTGAAAAAGACTACTTTCACTTAGATGCTAAAGCACTGACATATCTTCAGGTGAAATAACTTGAAGTTCAACATTGTGTTCACTACACATTGCATGGCCTAGTGCTATTTAAGAAACAAAGTATTTTTGGATAATGCTACATTCAATAGATTATTGCACTACTAAAAAATCTGTGTATTTTTTAAATTTTTTTTGTCTTTTTGTTTTGCATTTTTCTTCAAATATTTGTGCATATTTGGAAATACTACAAAGATCTCATGTTCCTCTGGGAGTGGTGAAAATGCCCCCACCACACATTAAATTGCATCAATATCAAAGTCGTCTTCTTCATCATTATTAACCATCTTGGGCTTGGCTACTGACTTGGGCTGCTCCTTCAATGGTGAGGTCTTAGCACGATCATCATACTCAATCTGCAAGACAATACAGACAGGCATAAGCATCTTGATACACAAATAGGAAACCATCAGAAAGGTAAAACAAATGGAGAAATCAAATTAAGACTTCAGACGATTAAGATACAACCATAGCGTGCCTTCATGATGGCTATAAAATCTACTTTACATACCTCAAGATCATCGTCATCATCCTCTTCAGAATCAGACTCTTCCTCCTCGGCTTCTTTCAACCAATTGATGAACGGCTGTGCCTTGGCATGGATTTCTTCACTCAGCTCACGAGACACGTATTTCTTGCTGATCTTGCTGTCCCAATCAAGCAAAGCTTTCTCTTCCAGAATATCAAGATCATACAGCATCTAGGATAAAAAGAACGAAAACAGGTACCTAAGAAGGAATACTTCAAGGAGGTAAAGTGCATAAATGAGAATTAAGAGTTAACTATTTCTAACCTTGAAGATGGCTGGGACCTTTGGAAGAAGTGAATCCTTGTGCAATGCAATGATTTGCTCAATGCCTCCAATCAAATATTTCTGAGCCTTCAGATCTTCATGAGTGAACCGTAAAATCAAGACACGGTACTTTTTAACCTGGCAAGTAATTTAGAATAAGTTTGGCCTCTCAATATAACACACAGAAATGGATTACAGGAAAGTACAGAATTTGTATTCAGCTTACCTCCACATGGATTTTCTCTGAGAGCAGCAGTTCAGCCAATACAAGCGGAGCTTTAGTCTTGACTTCCAGATGCTCTGCTTGTGTCAGAACTTCACGATGAATAGCAACCTGCTCCAATGTTCCAGCGTCACGGCGCTGCTTCACAAAGTTGTAGAAGATATCCATGCGCTCTTTCTCAGTCTTCTCCAAGTCATCAGATATAGTCATTCCCTTGGCACCATCAGTCAGATCTTGGAGTCGGGCACGAACAGCTTCTTCAGAGCAATCAACAACCCATTCAGGCTCATCATCATCCTAAAACACAAAAATGAAAAATTGAAAATGCTGTAATTTAATTAACTAAACTCTGAAAATAATTCTACATACTGCATCTGGTGCCGCAGGTGCATCTACAGGTGGATCGCCGTCATTGTCATTGTCGGAGGAACGATTCTCTCCATTAGTGTCACCGTTGGTTTCACCATTTTTCTTGGTACGCTTAGTGCGTTTGCCCTCAGTTAAGGAAGATCCTTGAGTAGCAGGATTCGTAGCTGAAAAAAGAATTCTATTAAAATACTCTGGCAATGATTGAAAATATTAAAGAAGTATGATAGACAATCCACTTACTAGGGGGATTTTTCAAAATGTAAGTGTTTAGCTTATGATTGAAGTCAAGAGTTCCATGGTAGCCACAAGCTTTGCAGCCCTGGCTGATAATGCCCTTCTTTGCTTGAACACTCAAAACGGTCTCAGGATTGTCACATTGTGGGCACAACACAAATTTCCGAATAAAACCATCAAGGAGATCTTGCAACTTAACAGCATCATGGGACCCATTGACAATGTAACGATCATTTTTGAAATCAAAGTTGGTTTGCGCACCCAACTCACAGCCAAAATATTTTGTGGGGTCTGAAAAACAAAAAGGGAAAAGTAAGTAAATGATCACTTGTTTGCAATGAAGACGTAAATTAAAGCAAGCAAGATAGGTACAAACAAAATCATAATCAAGAGCAAAAAATTTATAACTTTCAGTTTAATTTCTCATATTCTGCCTTATCATTCAAATCGTCAACAGTATATTTTCTGCTGAATGAGATAAAATCACAGAAATTAAAAGAAAGTCATGGAAAGAATTTAAATAAACTAAGGTCAATTTCTCATATTCTGCCTTATCATTCAAATCGTCATCACATTTGAATCTGCTGAATGAGATAAAATCACAGAAATTGGAATTCATAGAGGGAATTTGCAATGAACCAGGATCAATTTCTCATATTCTGCCTTATCATTCAAATCGTCAGCACATTTTTGTCTGCTGAATGAGTTAAAATCACAGAAATTGGATGTCATAGAGGGGATTTGAAAAGAACCTGGATCAATTTCTCATATTCTGCCTTATCATTCAAATCGTCAGCACATTTTTGTCTGCTGAATGAGATAAAATCACAGAAATTGGAAGTCAAGGAGGGAACTAATAATGAACTTGGATCAATTTCTCATATTCTGCCTTATCATTCGGATAGTCAGCACATTTTACTTTGCTGAATGAGATAAAATCACAGAAATTGGAACAAGTTTATAGACTAAAATTACGGCGGGCTAGTCTTAATTTCTAAAAAGCAAATTTCAGGTTCATTTCCTGAAATATATGAAGGAATCTAAAAAGTTAAAGCAACTTACATGTAGCAGGGCGTCCAAGAGCCTTAGCGACATCAGCCATGTTGACAATGACAGTTTTTATGCCATTTCCTTTACCTTCTACTTTGGCCTGGATGCGAGGCATCTTATACCGATAAAAGGCATCGCTCACGGCGCGATTCACGTTTACACTCATGGTGACGAGTTTTGTAAGACTTCTTCTTGACTACGTCTGAAATAATGATAAAATGAAAAACTTGCAATCAAGTTACTAAGTTACTTAATTTAAAGCAAAAGTGAGGATGAGTGTCTCACCTAAAATATCGGAGCTGCCAAGCCTTAAGGAACAAATGGTGAGGGCCTGCTTTGCAGCAGGAAAAGTAATAGACTGAGTGGTCGGCGTGGTGGTGGGGTAGGTAGCAGAGCTAATGCTGACAGCGTTGCTGGCGGTTGTGAGTTAGTATAGGAACAATTGGGACGTAATGGTGGTGGTAACGTGACCTAGTCACGTTTCTCTAAATGGCTGAGATTTCCTATGGCGGTTACTGGAAAATTTTGTTGTCCTTTGAAGATAGAGAAAAAAAGTTAGTGCAATATAGATTTAATTATTAGATTTGATTAAAAAGTTATGGTGTATGCATACCTATGACTGATAGGGCCCTGCGGCTGATATGAAATCATACACCTCCCTCCTGGGCCACGACCGGGCTCTTGTGCTATAGGAGAACTCCCAGATCTACCTCTGGATACTGTCCAAGTTTCTGCAACAAAACAAAAATAAAAAGACAAATTAACATTTGCATCACAAGCTACCATTAGCATATGTTATAAATCAGCAAGTACAGTGGCGAGAGACAAATTCAAAAGTCAGGCACCAGATCCAAGAAACCATTTTGACAGGCCAAAGGTGATCACTGGTAGGTTAACTTTATAATTTCGAACACAAGTCAACTGAAATACAAAGGTCAGTTTCTCCATTTAATCAAAATCACGCCTCCAAACGAGGCACAACTACACTAGGGGACACGGGGGCAACGACCGCACTGGACCGCCTCGCTACAGCTCGCTACCAGCCGATATAGCCCCAAGATGGATCCGGCCGTGGGAAGGGATTCTCACCAGCTCTGGATAGCACCATATGTTTGAGCAAGCGTGTGGAGAAATCCCCTCCGCTCGCGAAGTGACGGACAACCAGAAGGAAGGAAGTCAGTGTTTTTCCGTAGGCGGTGATGAACACCGACTCGAGAAGATGAAAACCAGAGGGAGGAGAAGGACTCCCACAGACAGACAAGCGGTCGCGACCGGGTCAGGCAAGGAACGAGAGCCTTGGCAGGGTGGGCACGGCACGGGGCAGCCACTGCCACCCCCCGGCACCCCCGGGCACCCCGCCCGCCCCTAGCGCAGTCCTCGCCACCCCCTTGCCCATCCCCGCCGAGCCTGCTTCGATCGCCCAGACCACCGGAGCCGAGCCCAGCCGAGCCAAGCCACCGCCCACCCACCCCCTCACGGAGTGGGGTTGGGCCAGCCCAGCCAGCCCCGGCGGCCCACAGGCCAGCCGCCCCCACACCCCCGCGGCCCGCGAGCGGCCCCAGCCCCAGGTGCGCCCCTGGCATGCCCTCTCCCGGGCAACGGCTCGGCCGGACCGGGCCGCGGTCGGACTTGATCCCCCAGACCTTCCGCACCAGCGCGACGAGCTCGGCTGGACACTCTCCAGCCGTGCGCGCTCGCTCGCTACACCATGAAGTCCTGCAGCGCCGCGAGGGGCTGGGCGGAACGACCGGCCGCTAAACTGCGATACGATAAGCGAAATAAAAACAAATTAGGACCGAGCATTTCCCCCGGCTCGGGCGGACTGTGGGGGCAGCCCGTCCAGCTCGACATGCAGGCCCAGTGGCACAACTGATAAAGGGGGCACCGCGGGGTGGGGGACGAGGAGAGGCGGGGCGGGGCGCGGCGGGGCGCCCAGCGCACCGACCGAGTAGCGGCCGTAAAAAAAAGTGAGGAAAAGTGTACAGCACACATGGTACCATTCGCGAACCACACGACTTGATATCGTCGGGCCAATGCCGGACGAGTGACGACACCGCGCCGTCACTTTGATACGGGCCACGCCACAGCGCGGCACCTGCCGGCCCGGCCAAGCCAGGCCAACAAATGGGCCCCGATCTGATCAGCAGAGTTTGCAGCAGCGGCTGGCTAGAGCGGCGCGGCCCCGACTCGTTGTAAAAGGGGAAGGAGGCTCAACGATGAAGACATTGAGACTGGGGGGCAAAGCAATGCAAAGCATATCGAAATCGGCCCCGGCAAAGAACTCGCCGGGGAGTTGCGTACGGAAGGGGCGGGGGGGGAGGGGGGCAGCCGCGACGGCCCGGGCCGCCGCCAGTGCCCAGACCAGACCTACCGGTGTTTGCGAGGTGTGTGAAGGTGAACGGGCTCGAGCGAGCTCGAGTGCCATGCCGCCGCCAGCCGCCCCGCCCCGCACCCGCCAGCCCATGGCACTGGACTGGACACACTCCGGTTCAAAACTGTTAAAGAGACGCGACAAGCAGACTCCCGCCTGAGCCGCACCTGGATCCACCCCACCGTGGCGGAGGTGGAGGTGGTGGAGGTACCCGAGGCCAGGCCACACTGCACACGACTAATTACCCCCCCCCCCTCCCCCATAGCCTTCCCCGCCCGCCGCGCGCCCGGTCGTGTACCTACGCGCCACTACTGTATTGACCGGAGAGACCGGAGCTTAAAGCTTTCTCGTGACCGCAAAACAATGGCAAAAAAAAATACAATAAAAAGTGGAGTCCAGCAGTCCAGTGGAGCAAAAAGCCACTCCAGCGAAAACCTCCACGCCACCAACGGTTTCCGTGCAGGCGCGCCATCACGCCACACTGACGTGTCGGCTGCTGGCCGGGGGCCTCGCGGGGGGCGCACGGGATCAAACACCAAGTGCCCCCCGCGCCACGCACAGGGCGCAGAGCGGCGCAGAGCCTAGCCGGCTGAGCCTACCGCGAGCAGGCCGGTCGGGTCGGGTCTCCTAGCGCCGGCGCCGTGACGCGTCTTGGGCGCCACGTCACGCCCGGGGAGGCCCCCCCACTGGCGACGCCACCAGAGGGAGGCCGCGGGGGGCGCGAGCAGCCCCGACGTGACGTGACGCCGACATTTGGTTGCCAAGTCGGCAGAGCTGGACATACCTCCTAGCCTCTAGGCCGCCACGCCCCCAAGTAGCCACAGGCCATGACGGGGAGCTCACGGCACGGGCCTACCGCCATAGCGCGCCGTCGGCTCTCATTGCGTGGTGTCCAATGCCCCCCCCCCTCCTCCACCTCTTCTACCCCTTTTCCCCTCCCATGCCCCTGCCGTGCAATGCTTGCAATACCTATGACTCCTGTGCCACCGCACCACCGCACCCAGGCCCTGGCCTGCCCTTGACGGAGTATATCATTCAATGAGGAATGCTGGTCGCTTTAATGAGAAAAGGAAATGGGACAATCGACGAGAGTGAGCAGCCAAAAACTGTTGAAGTAAGACAGCAGAAAAAGAAATCAGAGGACTGAAGTGGCTTCAGTCCCTTATCAACATAGATATGGAAATGTTAAATAATAAAAAGGTACACAAAGCACTTAAACCCTAGACGACAGCTGTCAATTTGATCAGTATCATTAATATCTAGGTAAGATTGTAGATTAAGATAAGACTTGAACACTTTGCCCCCATATCTCACAGCTTACATTCTACACAGCCTTATCAAACACATTCATTCAAATGACTTTCATTTATCATTAAGTCTCTGATCAGTGCTATGAAGACCAATGAACTCCCAAGAAATTAAAAATTATTGTCAACATACCACACAGCCTGAATACATTTCATAAGACAGTTTCTGATAAGAAATAATAATGGGTGAAAATAAGAACTAAAATGAAATGCCGAATTTCTGTTAGTTTCTTTTCAATTTTAACTACTCCAACTGAGCTAGGAACCTTGGCCACCTCTTTCAACAAAATGACTATGTAATGAAATGGAACATGCACCATGGAGATGAATTGCACTTTGTACCCAGCTCATTATGAAGAGTAGCCAATTCCAAAAACTTCAGAGTTGACACCACGTAGAAGAGGGCAACAGATGCATACATGAATAAAACTAAAGGAATTTCATAGAGGAAGACGCAGAAGCTGTGTGATGGTAGTTTAAAGATAGAAGTCGCACAAAACCTATGTTTTGAAACACAGGATTCAACTAGGTCCTTGCAAAAGATCTAATACACACAAATAAAATTAAGCCACTAAGCTTGCTTAGAGCAAATAGCAAATGGAAGAAAAGACAGCAAACCAGAAATGAGCAGCGGCAATATCGAAAGATGACTTAACCTAACTCAAACGGCAACAGAACAGTCTTCGACAGAGAGTACTACTCTAAGAAAGATGTATTAAAACCAATTACATGCCGTGTCAACAGATAAATAGGATATGGAAAATGTTTTCACGTTAAGGGCAGAAGATCAAAAGGTCTTATCACAGAAGGGTAGACTGGGGCCCATTACGCATAACTCATTTAAAATGTCTAATGGAAATTTTGATCAGGCCAAAGGATTCATCGACGGCAACGAAGGACTAAAACCTGTCTCATCACTTTTAACGACCCATACAAAGTGATATTCGCATTATTTTCATGTAAACGTCTGTTGCTGGGCGGCTTGCAATAGGTCGTGAACTCGAGTTGGCCTAACCAAATTTGAAAATTTACTCACCTTTGCAGCTACGGAAAGTCATAAAAAATGGGTAACGCCCTTCTGGACGATAGCAGTACTGCGACAAATAATATGAAGCGGCAGCACTAAAACTTGGCAGCGGGGATCACTGCCTCGGTCCCCTCACTGCAGAGCACTGCGCCGTCTGGAACAAGGGGAACATGGGCATTGTAGCAAAGACAAGGGCGCCTAGGCAACGATCGCAAAATAACATAGGAAAAAACAGCACTGAAGGGGAAGGATTGGGTCAACAATGTAAGAGCTTACAAGGGGGAGAATTCTCCGGTTAGGAAAAAGCCAAGAAGACAAGCTTCCGCACTCCTGATGCACACAGCTCTGGGCGAACTGAGCAACTGACCGATGAGTAGTGTGGTGGTGATACGAGAATCACGTAACACTCCACGAGGTCCATGAACGGGCATACGCAATACTTAAAGTTAGAGGATGCAGACAAAGGAAACACAGGCACGATAGAATAATGACGAGGACTATGAATTTATGCTTACCAGCTGTCAATAACGCAAGATAATTGCGAGATTTTGCGAAATAAATAAATATTTGAGGGGGGAAATGACGTCACTGTGTAGATAGCAGCACCAGTAAGTAAACAAGGGCACCAACACCGAAACACTTGCACAGGTCCTTCTGACATGCGTTTAGACTTAAGCACATTCTTAACATCAAATAAAAACATTTTGGTTTCCTCAAAACTATTTATTTTGTTTAAAAAAGAGTTATCATTTCAAATAATTTTACAAAAGATAGAATGTTTATTTGTAAGTGTTGTGGCTTCTGTGGTGTATGACGTCATACCCACATGACAACAGAACACAGATCGGAAGGCACGGCAGAGACTACTTGCTGCTGGGCAGCACAAGGTGTGGAGGTTATTTTATGCTTGCAATTTGAACTTTTTCGACAAGTCACTCCTGTTGCATCGACTTGAAATGTTTATAGTGTGTATCAGTAACTAATTTTGATTCAATTCTTCCAGACTTTCATCATGACGTCCACCTTTACTTGCATAACCTGTCGTGTTGCATTTCATGATGCTGAGATGCAGCGGTCACATTACAAGACAGACTGGCACCGATATAATTTGAAAAGGAAAGTGGCCGATTTGCCTCCAGTAACTGTTGAAGAATTCAATCGTCGAGTTGTGTCTCAGAGGGAAAAGGATGAGACAAGCGGTCAAGAGATTACAGTGTATTGCAATGTTTGTCGCAAGTCCTACACCAATCAAAAGGCATTTGACAACCACCTTAGCTCCAAGAAGCACAAGTTAAATCTGAAAGAAGTCAGTTCAGATGGGTCATTTGCAGATGGTAGTGGAATTCAAACTACAAGAGTGAAGAAAACTTCTGTCCCCTCCGTAGCTTCATCTTCCGCAGCAAAAGATAATGAAATGGAAATTGATCCGGAAATTGAAGAAGTTGATTCCGATGAATGGGAAGATGAGGATGATTGGGAAGATGAGAATAATCCTATATTTCACAATAATTGCCTATTTTGCTCCAACCATAGTGCCAATATGTTGAAAAATTTAAAACATATGTCAATTGCGCATGGATTCTTCCTCCCTGATGCAGAGTTTCTCACCGATCCACGTGGCCTTCTTATGTACCTAGGGGAGAAGGTTTGTCAAGGATTCATGTGCCTTTGGTGCAATGATCGTGGACGCACATTTTATTCAGCAGAAGCTGCAAAGGCACACATGATTGACAAAGGTAATTATGTTTTCTAAAAATGCAATATATCAATTGAGAGTAACCTACCATGTTCTAAAGGTTCCTAAAATTATTTTTTCAGGTCATACAAAGATGCTTTTTGAAGGAGATGCTCTGGCGGAATATTCAGATTTTTATGACTATTCAAAGAGTTATCCAGATGCAGATGGAGATGCAGATCCAGATGAGGAGGTTGAGATTCCTGAACTGGACAGCGGTGATTACTTCTTAAAATTACCATCAGGAGCAACTATTGGGCATCGTTCTCTCTTCATATATTACAAGTAATATATTTCATCCCTAAATTGAGAATGATGTGTTTGATTGTTAAATTACTCAATATGGTTCGTCATGTTTTTCCATTTTATTTGCAGACAAAGTTTAAATCCAAACAGACAAGTTGCTTTTGCTCCGAAGAAAATGAACACATTCCTTTCAACTTATCGTGCTCTAGGATGGTCTGGAACTGACTCAGTCGCAGCTGCAAAGTAAGTTAAAAATAATTTTCACTTTGTGATAACATTGAAGGACAGAGAGCCTTTTCTAACAGTTTGTGTTCTCTTTCTCTTACACAGGAAAGCAAGAGATGTGCATTATATGAAGAGAATTCAAGCAAAACATGCATGTAAGCTGGGAATAAAAGCTAACAAGCTCCAAACTCATTTCAGGCACCAAGTCCTCTTCTAGACTGTTGCTCTGTTTAATTTTAGGGATGTTAATAATATATTATTTAAAAATATAAATCAGCTTAAATTACTTTCCTGCTTGTTCATTCTCACCCTGAAGTGCTTTTAGGAAAGGGAGGGGAGGGGGTCGTAGAGGAGTGGCAACGTTTGTCCCCCTTCAGCTGCGCTGCGATGCGATGCGATATTGCTTCCGCTCTCCTGGCTGGCTGTCTAGGTCAGCCACGCGCACGGCACCAGCACGGCACGTGCGCCCCCCCCGGTCCAGTGGGGATGAGGGGGATGAGATGATGTACTCCGGATGTTCCACTTATTAAATGCGTAGTGACGCTAACATAGATGGGCGCTAAAGCGATGCTCCTGGAGTAGGGTCGGCGGGTGGGACCTCCCGCAGTGCCTCCACACCGGCCCGCCCCCCTAGGGCACTTTTAGCTGCCTACGAGAGATCGGCGCGGACTAAAGTTTTCGCTGTCCTTGAAAGCCCGTCCGCCCAGCCCGGGCACAGAGACCTCTCCATAGAAAAGATGGGAAGAAAGAGTTGGAGGGGAGGCTCAGACTAAGTCGACGAGGACGTCGTAAGCACGAGGAGGGAGAGGGAAGAGGATTACTTTTCCTCGAATCTGCGAAGAGGAGAAAGGATACAGTGTCCGCTGCAAAGAGAGCGCACTCAGAACCAGTAGTACTCGTTGTTGGAGAGTAGACCCAGTGGGAGGCGGGTTGCCTATCTGCCCCACCCCATACCCGCCGGGCCGGTGGAGGCGGAGTACTGTGCGATCGTTTGACTGCCATTCTCGTATAACACAATAACAAGGATCCGGCGTCGGGGCGAGTCCGAAGACAAGCAAGCCAGCCGTCCTCGGGGAGAAAGGGGCTGGTGCCCACGGACCCGCAGACCTTCCTTTTCCACGCCCCCCCCCCCTTACCCCTTTTTGCCCATGCCTCCTCCCCTGCACCTCACTCTTTGCATCTACCCTTCAACTCCACGATTCCGCTCTCCCCTTCCCTTTCTACCAATCCTTTCAAACTGAAATCCTGAGCGCACCCAAACCTCAAAACCGCAACCCGCAAAGACACCCCCACTCCACCACCACCCTACTGCCACGCTACCGCGAAAGCAATTCGAGCCGCGGCGTAGCTGTGGAGGGGCAGACTACGCAGGGCCTAACTGAGAGCACCTGCGCGCCGATCTCTGCGGCCCTCTTGCTCTGCTGCACTGCCGCGCCTGATTCAGAAAAGCGTTCAAGAACAAAGACGGGCTATACAGGAGGTATAGGAGAGCGATCTTATGAATCAGGCGGCTGTGCCCGCTGCGCTTATGGGGGCACAAATGCCGGGGCTGAGGTCCCAGCGCCCCGTTCTACGCCCTACGGCCCGCGCGCCGCTACGCCACTGGGGCGGTCCAGAGGCTGGTGGGGGCTAAAGCTGTGCGAGAGAGGGGGCCGGGGGCGGGCC